CTCACTCATTATTTTCACTTAAGCATAAAGTGTGTAGTTTACAAAAAATAAGAATTTCTGGGTGAATGTATATATAATGGAGCACATTGCTGTAGAGAACAGAATACAGTACATTAAATCAGAAAGATAATGACTTTACTACTGTGAAAACAAAGGCTGTCCTTGATTAAATAGATACTCTAACACCCTAATACAGCAGTTTTCAACCTGTGGGTCAAAACCACACATATAAGATACTTACATTACTATTAACAACAATAGCAACATTACATTTTTGAAGTAGCAAAAAAAATGACTTTATGGTTGTGGTCTCCACAATGCAAGGAAGTGTATTAAAGGGCCGTGTCATTAGGAAGTTTGAGGACCGCTGCTCTAACACAATTTCACATTTACCTCCTTTTTTCAGATTTGCATTATATTTATTTTTGCAACTGTACTCAATTATGGTAATTGCATATATTTTCATTGATGCCCAAAGCAACCATATTTTCTGATGTGTCGTTTAAAACATTCTTTTTTCATCCATAACTCAGTTCTTTAGGCATCTGACCCTCTTCAAAATGAGTTCCTTAGATCTAATTGGTTTCTTTGAATTTTATGTTGTTCTGTTGCTTATTATGTCCCTGTTATTTTTGGACAAGTGTTCAGCAATCCAAATGAGCTAGATCATTTCTCAAACATTGTCACCTTCTCAACTTTTTAGGAACTAAAATTTCCTTATATTTAATTCTAAGAATTCTTGAAATTAGGGATAATAATTCTGACTGTAAGATGTTATTCAGGAAACCGAGATACATCTCAAGATCTTAGGGGTGTTATTTGTTGTGAACTTTTAAGACACTAGTTATACAGAAATTGATATCTGATGCCTGGTTATCACATTTTCACTTCTCTAGGCTAAAGACTTGGCATCCAGAAAGTCAGGTTATAGTTCAAAGACTGTGCAGCTGACTTCAGGCACCAGTCCATTTCCTAACTTCCCATTTGTACAATGTACCCAGAGGCACATAATGCTTTTCTTACTATCAGAACACCTGATCCCTCATAGCACAAGTGACATACAGCTCAAGTCTCTAAGATTCAGTTGTATAAACACCATAAACAGGACTAGTGTTCCTCAAGAAAGATATTCCCCTCTTCATCTTAGCTGCCAAATTAGTACACATTTCTACATCCACCATCAACCACCAAAACAATTATGAATTTGGTTCAGTTCGTCACTCTTTTTTAAAAAATTGCTATTTAAATTAAAAACAATCTTATTTTACATACTTATTTTACAAGTTCACTCTCCCTTCTGTCCTCCCATTCCCCCGACCATCCCCCATCCTCTCACCCACTCCTCAAGAAGGGTGAGGCCTCCCATGAGAGATCATCAAAGTCTGTCACATCATATGGGGCAGGACCTAGGCTAGGCCCACCCCCTGTATCTAGACTGAGAGCATATCCCTCCATAGAGAATGCGCTCCCAAAACCCATTCATGCACTAGAAATAAATACTGCTTCCACTGCCTGAGGCCCCATAGACTGGCCAAGCCCCCATCAGAAGCCCACTTTCAGGGGCCTGGATGGGTCCTATGCTGACTCCCCAGCTGTCTGCCTGCAGTTTGTCAGCTCTCACTGGATCAGGTCAGCTGTTTCTATAGGTTTCCCCAGCATGGTCTTGACCCCTTTGTTCCTCACTCCTCCCTCTCTGCAACTGGATTCTAGGAGTTCAGCTCAGAGCTTAGCTGTGGGTCTCTGCTTCTGCTTCCATCAGCTACTACTCTTAATAGCAGATGCCCAGACACCTCTGAGCAGAGTTTGTGTTCACAGGTCCTCATTCATTCCCAAAAAAATGTGCATTCTTTAGCTATCCAATAGTAGAGAAATTCTTTTCTGTGCCTTTGGATATTATCTCTTCCTTATAACCAGTGCTTTTATCCCAGAAACTAATTCCAAAGGCTTTTAGTTCTCCATTATATCAGACCTAAAATTGTTTTTCTGCCATTCTCATTTCAAACAGCTGCTAGCTCCTGAAGCAGTGAGGAAGCCACAATGCAATACTTCATAATAACACGTGTCAGGACTACATTTATAAAATCCATGTTTGCCCTATCTATATTTAGTGTTTGCTGTCTATTTGTTGTCCCTTGAGCAAAATTTAAATCATCAAAATTATGTGCCTGTTCTTCTTTGGCTAATCCTGGTTCAATATCAGGTGCTAGGTAGAAATGAAATATAGCCCTCAATTCCCCTGGACTACGAATTCCTACTTTTTCCCATATTGCATAAGAACATGTGGCATTCTTTCCTCATCAAAAGCCCTGAGGATTCAGTAATTTCTTCTAAGCTGTCAAAAAGTTATGCCAAAGAATACGGGAGTAAGTTACCTATAGAAAATTATATTTTTCATTGAAAATGAAATTGAACCATTACCATAAATACAAAGCTATGACTTTTTAAACTTACTCAGCTTTGTTCTGGTATATTTGTGTACCAATGAGCTTACTCAAAGCCTTAATAATTGCCCTGGTTGCCGTTTAAATGTAAACGGAAAATGTCAGCAGTTCACGAAATTCAAAACAAATTTTAAAGTCCTCCCCTAATTAGAGAGCAGCATTTTATTATTCTCTTTAGAATCGCAGAAGATGAATGTTGAAGGGGAGAAAGCTAACTAGGCAGGAGAGAAAATGAGGCTAGCACACTCTCTGGTGAGCTTTGCTCATTTTTCTCCTGGTAGAACTTATTTATGATACATCATTAAAACATATTGGGTAGAGATGCTGCAAAAGAAACAGGGAAAATAAACTCTTTAGTGAAAGATTCATTATTTATTACTATTTACCTGTCAGGGACAAAGTTAAAACGTTTATTTTCATATACATATATATATATATATGTCTTTCTAATGCTACCCTTTAAAATATCAAAACAATTAACTTCTTGATTAAAGGATTACTTTTCCTCTGAGTATGCCAGATAACTGAATATGCAAAATAACCCAAATTTATTTTAATCATTCCAATAATTCATTATGTGTCCATTTGTGAAATCATACATCATTTTCAAAATCAGAAGTTCAGTAGTAGGAAATATCATGTTACAGAATTTTCTAGATCATGTAAAAACCAACCCAGAGTGTGTCATTTCTGTGGAAATTACCCTATATTCCCATAGCTACTGATTCAGTATTGAATATGTTAATAATAAACTATTCTAACTTGGTTGGAGAGCTCATTAACTTTTAGGTAGTCTTTGTCTTAACACAACTCACCATTGTTTGGGAGTATGCATTTTCTCCAATACAGTTTTATTCACTTGTTTGGAAGATTTTGTAGCATCCAAAGACTAGACTCAAGACTTCTCAATGATTTCACACAGCCTTCTCTGAGAAACTTCAGAAGGTATATAAATGACGGTTCTAATTGTAACCCACAATTTTCTACTTGCATTGATTTTTGAATTCAGGCTTTATGGGGCCTTGGGTAGTATTTATCCCTGGCATACAAATGGACTTTGGCTGCCCATGCCACAATGAGGGATGCTCTCTCAGCCTGAACTCTTGGAGGAGGGCCTAGGCCTTGCCCTGGATGAAATTACTGACTCTGGAGATCCACCATGGAGTGCCTAACCCTCCTTGGGGATCAGAGTGGAGATTGGGTGGGGGGCTGGGGGGCCTGGTGGGGAGTAGGGGAAGAAGTGAGGGAGAGGTACCTGGGATTGACATATAAAGCAAGTTTGTTTCTAACTTAAATAAAAAAAGGGAAGAAAAACAAAACAAGAAAATATTATTCCCTTGTACTGAAAATCAATGGACAGCAAAGACTATATATCATAACTAGTAAATGAGAAGATAATTACAGGATTAACAAGATATACATTATTAATTTATTCAACAAGTAAGTACATATAAAAAATTCTTTATGTCAAACAAATACTGGCTATACAAAATTCAGGAATCAGATGTCTGTGTTGATCTGGATTTTAACAACTATTTGCCTAAAAGTGTATACTTATTATAATGTAATTATCACTTTAATTTACTAAATTTTATGAAAACATAATTGTTAATTATGGTCTCAGAGTCTATGTATCACTCTGCAGTAAGAAGAAGCAAGGGCATTTGTGAGGAAGGTCATGAAATCTCTCCAGCAGAGGGATTAATTCATTAGTTTTGAATCTGGAGTTGGGTATGTATTTATTACCTAAAGGGTCCATGGCAAACCACTTAATATCCCCATGTATTTTTGTCTGTAAACAAGAAAATAGAATAATCATGTACTGCAGAGACTCCATAGAGCTCAAATGAGTTAATGGAACCGAAGTGAATTTTTGAGAAATACCCAGGATATAGTAAGGCCTTGAAAATGTAGCTATTATTATTATGTCTGTTTTGTTTTTCACTAAATGAAAGAACTATAAAATCACCCTTTGATATAGAAATCGAAATACTGTGTTGGTATGAATATCATCTTACATGTGTTATACACATACACCAAAACAAAAAACCAATTGCACTTAATGAGCTTTGTTGAGACAAACTTAATTTATATTTGTGTCTTCATAAAAAGACCAAACTCTGTCACATTCTTCTTGGCAAATGTCTTTGGATAACACAAAATATTCTTATTCACTCTAATTTGAAGTTAGTCTCAGCATAAATCTGGCTCAGTTCTTTATAAACATCAGATTCCAAAACAATGTAGGATTGATACTAAAAATGGAAATAGAAGGGGTTGTCGGGTGTTGATAAATAATGTCATATTTTTCTCTATTATTTCTCTTTTTTAAAAAAAAGTTCCAAATTATTCTCTCCTTCCCAGCTCCCACTCCCCCCCACCCCTCGCCGTGTTCCCCATCCATTCAGAGGATCTTGTCTCAATCCTCTTCTCTTGGGTACTATGCATATATGCATATCTTTTAGGTTCTTTCCTGTTTCCCAGACTCTCTATCAGTGGAAGTGCAGACTGGCACTATCCTGATCCATGTCTAAAATCCATATATGAGTGAGTACATACCATGTTTATCTTTTTGCGACTGGGTTACCTCACTCAGGATGGTTTCTTCCAGTGCTGTCCATTTACCTGCGAATTTCAAGATTCCATTGTTTTTTTCTGCTGAGTAATACTCCATTGTGTAAATGTACCACATTTTTTGTATATTATACTTATCAAAACAGAATTAAAACAATGTTATTTTAATAAAAAAGTTCCAAATTACAATGATCTAACAATCACAATGGTTACAGTTTCAAAATGATAATCAAGGAGTGTGAATAAAATGTAACATCCAAATTATATTGGGGATTCACTACTTGTCAATTTGCCAGTTTGCAAAAGGGATAAATATATTATTGCCAAGTGAGTTTTCTTAATTCTCTGTGACTCTAAATCAAATGTCAGCTTCTATGCCTCCTCTTTAAAAAATTAATTCTTTCATTTACAACTGTCATCTGAGGCAGAGAAAAGAAAATTTTCAGCAGAAATGAGGCAATTAGAGAATAGTAAGTCCCCTGGGGTGATAGCCAAAGACTCTGTTACATATATTTCTAGTTTCCTTTCCTCCCAGTTCAATTCAAGGGCACAAGGATAATCAGAATTAAATTATCTTGGAATTATAAAGTCAGCTTTCAATAAAAATGACAGATTAGTGATTTTTACATTGCTCTTTCCACACTCCAAATCGTATTTCTGTTGTTCCTAAAATCTCCTGAGTCCAACATAATCTTGTACAATATGAGGGAATTGGCAAGTGTTAAGTCTAGGCAGGTGCAGGATGAGCCTACTCACTGTACACAAGATAACTCATTTAGAGCTTAAGAAGGACGCATGTGATGGGTGATCACCTTAGGAAACGTTACTAATTTGGGGTGTGTTGTGTTATGATTGTATCCACTGCTAGGTTTCATGTCAAAGTGTTAAGAGACCATGTAAAAAATCACTCACAAAATAGTTTCCAAACTTATCAAAGTAAAAATTTTAAAAGGAATGAACCCCCATGTGGAGTTTAAATTGGACAGTTTTGCATCTTTGTATAAGTAGAATGTCTCTCAAGAAGCAGAAGAAGAAATTGGAAACTTGAACCAACACTGAAAGTTTCACATGAGCCATTTCGATTCATTTTCCCTTTTCAAGCTATGCATTGAAAATGTTACCTTTGTTCCTTGAAATGTTTTCACCACAAAAATATCCTATAATTTCAAATTGGCTTCATAGAATGGTTTTGAACATTAATCGGTAAATTGAGGAAAAACTGCAGATCCAGATTAAATTTAACTTATTTGTGCATGTGTGTGTGTGAAAGAGAATGTGTGTATGTGTGTGAGAGAGAGAAAGACAGAGAGACACACAAAGATGGAGACAGAAACGACAGAGAGAGAGAGAGAGACACAGAGAGACAGAGAAAGACAGACACAGAGAGACAGAGAAAGACAGACACAGAGAGACAGAGAAAGACAGACAGAGGCATACAGAGGGAGAGACAGGGATGGGGGAAGTCAGAGAAAGAGAGACACGGACAGAAGCTGTGGGAGCTGCAAGCATGTCTTCATGGACCAGTGAAAGAGGCATTCTCTTCTGCCACCTTGTGGGATCCACAGTCACACTCAGGTCTTCGGGCCTGCACTACGAACGCCTTTGGCTTAACCATCTCACCCAGTGCCTAAATAAAGACTTGAAATTGAATTCTACAGTTATCTACGTAGTGCCTTTGAAAGTAGTGATTAATCTATGTAGCTACTTAATTGCGTGTTTGTGTCTTGATGACGGCAGCTATTCCTGCAGCAAGTGGAAGTTTGCAAGCCCCAGCTTTGACTTCTGTGTGTATTGGTGACTTTTGTGTTATGCCTTCCTCACGGTTTTAAGATGGCCTTTGTGGGGGTCACTCATCTTTTCCCCTCTGAGATATTTTTCAGAGCTTTAGCAGATCTCTGGTTTAATATTTTGGAATTCTAGAGTCTATACTAGATACTGAATAAATATGTTAAAACATTGGCATCAAAAATCTCCGTTTTAGACTTACCTGGATAGTTTTGTTATTGTTTACTTGAACAGGTTAGAATTCACTGTCTTGCTGTTAGGATTATTTTATACACTATTAAATCTTAATTTACCTTATATTCTGGTGACATATTAACAGAAATAATTTAGTTGCAAATTCAAGGGTCAGATAACAATCCCAAGTCAGAAGTACTTTTAAAGCAGATGAGTGGAAGTTATTTGGCAAAAATTAAGAAATACTTCCTCAGGGACACGAGTATGGTACATGCTGTTTGGAAGGTTGTGGAAAAAAACACTGAAAATCACATATTTTTCTATTATTGAGTAAGTAATGAGAAATAAATACATTCTGGTTCTACTCCTTTCTCTTTTGCTCTCTCTTTTTCAGTCCTGTGCATGGATGTTTTGGATGTGTTTATGCCTCTGCACCACTTGCATGAGTGGTGCCTCTAAAAGTCATAGAATATCAGACCTCCTGGACCTAGAGGTACAGACAGTAGAGTCTCCAAGTGCCTTCTGGGAGTTAACACAGACTCTCTGTTAGCAGCCTTCTCCCTAGCTCCTCCATGCTACTTCTTAAGAGCGTCTGATTTGGAGTGACACTGTTTTGTATTAGGCATTATCCTAGACACTGACTGCAATACTGTAAACGCAGCTATCACTGCCCCCTAGTTTCAGAGATCTTCCCGAAATAACAAGTTTCAATAACCCCTGTCTGATTTCCATACAACAGATATCTTCTGTTGCAAATTTAGCACCAATGCATATACTTCAGGTTGTTTTCTCTTCTATAATGCCTTACAGCAATGCTAAGTAGGGACTATACTCCATAAAAATTGACTAGTGGAATTGAATTCCACGTGTGTGAGTTTTCAATAAAAGACTTCCCATAAGAAACAGCACTTCCTATTTTCTGCCAGAAATAACCTGCACTATTGGCAGCAAAGACAATGTGGTGTGTTTTCACCTCAGAGAATTTAGAAGTTTATAGCAATGTCCTTTATGTAATGTGTGCTGCATTTATTACACAGTCATCAAATAAAGAAAACAGTACATATTCATCTTGAACACTTACCACGGTGTGTCTACAGTTTTCTAAAGATTCCTTTAGGGCTTGCTCTGTTGATTTACCTCTCCTTCTGAATTGCTGAAACGACTGTAGCATTTGCTGCTTTTAATTTGGAAGTACCTTAGTGTTGGAGCAAAGAAGTTTGCAAACCATTATTTACATTGTCCAAGCTTAGAAATCATTTCCTACTTCATGATGGTTGCATGCATGCATTTGGTATACAGAGCAACACACTGCAGTTTCTAAAGTTCCAGGATATGAAAACCTTAAGAAAAGAACATTTTTCGCTAAAATATCTTGTCTTTTTAAAATGCATATCCATAAAATTGAACTTGGTATTGTATTTTGCATGAATGTGGGGAATATTGTGTGTTAGTGTAGCTCTGTAGATGTGTGGGTCAAATTTTCAGAGTTTGAAGTCTCACTACTTAGTCTGTGATGTCAAACTGATGAACTACGGGTTCACAGAGATTGTGATTGTCAGTGTTATTGCCAACTAGACACAATCTATATAATCTTGAAGAGTATCAATGAATGTTGTCTTGATCAGGTTGTTCTCTGAGTGTGTCTAGAGGAGATTGGTTTACTGAATCAAATGGTATGAGAAGACCTGCCTCCTACTGGTAGCATCATTCCCTACACAAAGAATCCTGAACTTCTTAAGAGTAGAAGAAGTAGAAGAGTACATTCAGCTCACTGTTCTTGACTGTGGAGTGACTATCTGTGTCAAAGTCTGCCACTGTGACTTCCCTGCAATGGTAAGCAAAAATGCCCTCTTCTTTCTGAGCAGTTTTTGTTAGGATATATTATCACAGTAACAAGAAACAAATATAAAATAACTCTGCCTCCTAAGAGTCAACATTGACCTTTGACCTCTTCATGAGTGGGCATGTTTGTGTACACAACCGTCCATAGACACATTTGTATGCACACGTGCGTGAACACACGCAAAGCATTAAGTATGTGTGGTTGTTTGGTTAATAAATGGCCCCCACAGACTCACAACCCAGGTGGTGGTGCTGTTTTAGGGGGTTATAAACCTTTTGGAACGTGGAGCCTTGCTGGAACACACACATCAATGACTTCTGGGTTTTGGAGTTTATTGGCACGTCGCACTTCCTGTTCACTCTTTGCTTTCTGCATGTGGTTGGAAATATGATCTCACAGCTTCCTGCTCCACCTATCTGCTACCATGACTGTGCCATGATGGATACTTCTTTTTCACTTAGGCTGATTTTTGCCTTTGTGGTTAGCAAAGCAGGAATAGTTTTGTTTTTCCTCCTCTTCTATCTCTGTCAAGTTTGCTTTATGAATACATGAAATTAATCCATAGAGGCACTTAGATGTACAAAAAGAGGATGTGGGCATATATGAGTCATGTAACAATGTATGCACTCAATAGTAATTTTACAACAGTACTTTAGTTAACCATTCATCAGCTATGTCTTGTCAGAACATAGTTTTACTAATAATTTGCTATTTAACAAAAGTCCAAAAAAACTATCAAGCTACTCTTCTGCAAGACCACATTCATAGATGCTGGAGAGCTGGTTCACTGGTTAACAGTGCTCACTGCACTTTCTACGGTCCCTAGCTTGGTTCCCAGTAACCATGTATGGTGGCTCAAACTGCCTATAACTCCAGATTCTGGAGATCTGATGCCTACTTCCAGCATCCTAGGGCATCTAAATACATTTGGTGCACACATTCACACACACACACACACACACACACACACACAAAACACCTGAATAATAATAAATACTAGGTTTTTATAACATTTCTTTTTTATCTGTTTTTCTTTCATATGCAACTATAACTATAGAAATGAAATTCCTACTCCCATATTTTACAACTGTTTATAGTCTTTACAAGTGAAAAAATTCCTCCCCTTTTCCATTCAATTCATAACAACAAACCATAAGCATCTATGAACATCACTGAACACTAGAAGAGACTGGAGTCTATAAAAGGAAAATCAAACAATGGGGAATGTTTTTTGCATAGCCAGAGATTCAGCATTAAACACAGTCATGAGATCACGGAATCTAAAATAAGAAACTAACAGCATTCCCAAGGTAAAAGCAGCTGATCCCAGCTTTTCATGCTTTGTTAGACAATGAGAGCTTCAAAATGAAATAAAGACCTTTAAATGCCACTAAAACTATTTTATTTAACTTAAACATAAGTAGATAAACTTTTCAAAGGTTTTTATATAGTTATTGTTTTTATACAGGGCTAATCCCACCCTGTAAGTTAAAATTTGAAAGTTGTGTTGCCTCTAAATATAGCATTATGAAATGCAATAAAAATATCAACACTATGCTCTGTTAAATGGTGAAATTTAAGTATAATTATCAGTATGTACTTGAGTTAAACAGAATTAAATTCTCAAGAAAATTAGGTAGCAAAGACTCAAGGGAAATATCAGAGAATATCTGTGTGTTTAAATGAGAGTAGTAGAGTGTAAGGAACCTTAAACCTGGAAGAATTCTTATAAACCAAACACTGCAGCTCCTTTATTGCACAAATTTAGGAAGTCAGGTTTAAAAAAATAAGTTTACCATTCAATAAGAAGTTTTAGTGACTTCAAAAAAAACAGAAAATATCCACCATTTAAATGTGTTAAAAGTAAAACTACTTGTGATAACTCAGTGATGGAAAGCTTAATGAGCAGCATCCACAATTCAGGCTGCATAAAAGTCACAAGTTGGTGAGAACCCTGCTTGTGTTCCAAGAACTTCACAACACAGAAATGTGTGTAATGCACACACGTTTACCTGCCTATCTATTGCTGTAAACTAAAGTGAAATGTGAGCGTTTCAGAGGCATCCATAAATGTCATTGTGAGTAGACTGAGAATACAGAGTAGGAACAATTGAGCCAGTTAGAAAAGCTAATGGAAAGGTCATGCTACTCACCAGTCATGACACTTTCAATTTTCCTGACATTTCCTCTAGAGACATGAAGTCCAGTCTGCAAAGGAACATTTAGGTTTCACCTCTTATCACTAGAAGACGTTCTTTTTCATTTCACTGTCTATGGTCAATAATATGACAAACAGTTAAAAAGAGACAACAGCAAAAAAAATAAAATGTCACTGCTTAATTTGGAGGTCTACTATGTCAGGAGTTCAAGGAAGTTGGGAGGATATAGTCTGAGCAAAAACTAATATTAAAGACCAAAGAAGACAGACTAAGTGCTATAACATTGGATTATGAGGCATATTGAAAGAGGAAGCAATGAAGACTGTAGAGAGAAGTAATAGTTATACTCTGGTCATTTTGTTTGCTTGTATTTCTAAGTGATTTAGTTTCTCTGTGTTTTTTTCATATTCAATAAGCCAATTAGATGTTCATTTCAAGGCAATACACTTAAAATGATGATAGAAGTAAAAATTCATATTACATAGTTGCTACATATTTGTATATGCTGAAAAGCATAACATAATATACAGGGTGCACATTATTTCATATGATTTAGTTAAATAAGTTAGTTTAAATGAATAAATGAAGCAAAGTAAATACAATAATAACATACTTATATATGTAAAATTCATATGAGAAAATGTTTTCTTAACATAGAATCAAACACTAACATGGGAGCCGTTATAAACATTGAATAGTTCAAACAAAATCAATCGTGCCAATATTAAATTTTAATGTCTTATTTTATACTTTGGCTACAAATGCACATATTGTGTAGTATTTTTGCAAAGAAAAAGTTTTCATTTTGTATTTCATAGGGAAAGTTTGGTGATCTATGAGAAATAAGAACATTGTGAGTGAAGACTAAAGTAATCCCAGAAGGCTGCCTTCGTAGTTCTAAACTTGGGCATACATAGCTAGCATCATTGTTCATATCAAATTGCAGTCTCATTAAATCAGTTTGGAAAAAGCTGGGAAATATCTTCTCTCTGTTTGAGGGCATGTGTGAGTCCAATATTCCAGGCCCAAACTACTTAATTTGGGGCAATAGTCTCCAGAATTCCTGCTTTAAATAAATAAACTTGATTAATCTAATAAATACATTCTCGTGATTCCTTGTGGATCAATAAGTTTCCCATGTGCTAACATTCCACAGGACTGAGCAATTGTAGTGATATCTTTGACTCAACAAAGGAAAGGGAGACGATTCCCATGTTAGTAATTTCTGCTGTTGCTCTGTTCTTCATAGACCTCAGATATTTATCGCAATGGGGAAGCTCTGCTGGAATACTTACTGCTATTAAGTTTACGGGTGCTGTCTCAATGTTAAGTTCCTTATGCTACATATAAACTTTATATGTATGTTAACAGTATGTAGGAAAACAAAGAGCATATAAAATGTATTTTATAACATTAAATTCACATATGACAGAACAACCAAAATGAACAAAACAAGAAGGTGGGGACAGCCCTGGCTTTAAGGACCTAGAAAAACCGCATAAGTACCCTAAGATAATTCTAATCAAATGGAAAAAATGAAAGGGTGTCAGTTTCCAAGTCAGCAAATTCAGGATGTCATTGTGAAGAGATAATGAAGGAGTCCTTATGTGATTGCTAGAGAGCAGAGAGGAAAGGATGCTGGATATTTGGAAGAGTTCACATCGATGCTGCAGAGGCTTTCTCTTTTGGGTGGCATGCATGCTGACAACAGGAAGGTGGACTGCTCTCCAGAAAGGTGGACTGACTTAACCCTGGGAGAGTTCTAAATGTCTACTGTCACCACTCTGCTGCAAGAAAGAAAGGATAGAAAATAGAGTGGAAGACAGTATATACTAGAAGGTGTGATATATGGTACCAAAGATTCTTGGACTTGTTTATTGGACCATCAAAATTGCAGCATGCCAGGCGTGGGTCTACAAGCACTCTCTGGATGCAACACCTTCACTAATATTTTTAAATACATATTTTAATATGTATAGTCACTTGCTTATTGTACTCACTAGTTTCAAAATGTACTACATAGATGCACTCTGTTTTAGCTGCAGTAAGGGGGAAAGTATATTCAGTCAATTTGAATACAGCTAACATGGTGAAAACATTTATCACAAAGGGAAATGTTATATTTAGAATACTACTCTGCCATCTACAGGACTGTGACACCAAACTGAAGGAAAAGTCAATCCAGAATGATTTTTGTTGTTGTTGTTGTTAGACTAGAAAACTATGGTAAATAAGTTGTCTAAAGACAAAATGGTGCGATTTCGCACTAAGACTCTTAATGTAAACTGTGGAAGTAATAATTACAAACAAATTATAAAGCTGAACAAGCCACCAAAGAACAAAGATTAAATGTGCATACATCGATCTTCACTTTTATCATGAAAGCAATAATTAATCTTCCCAAGAGTGCCTGAGAATTTGGTAGTTTATCTTTATTATTAATTATTATTATTACTATTATTATTATTATTATTATTATTTCTTTGGATGCCACTCAAGAATAAGGACACAACACCTCATTGTTGGTGACTTTTAATTTCCAAGTGACTAGCCTTTAAGTTTACAACACTCTCCAAATATTCTTATTCATACATAGAGAACAAAGGTCTGTGTGCCCTCAGGACATTTTCCTGGAATTTTTACACTTTTAACTTGCTTCTAAATTGGTATTATTGTTTTTTCCCTAGGGATACAAAGGGGACATTCATTGAAATATTTTGAACTAGTTTTTAATTCATTAAACTAGACTGCAGAGTTAGGTATAGATTTTGTCTCATTGACTTTTGCTGACTTTCCAGTTACTAGAACTAGTTTCTTTTTTTTACATCTTACCATATTCTATTTGGACATCCAATGTGTAATTCCAGTAGGAAACAAGGACAACGTATCAAAGAACTTCTACTATCTGAATACATTTCTGTGAGAACAGGGAAAAATCTTAGCAACTTATACTGAGTTGCTGCTTCCTTAAGTTTTAATTAATACTCTTTTTCCTTTCATACATGTGTGCACTGTTTTGATCCGTATCCACCGCTCACTACTTCAGTCCTGACCCCAACCATATCTCCTTCATAATTTAACTGTAATAAATAGGGCCTAATGCAGAGTTCATGGGTGCTGTCTTTTTAAAAGATTTTTGTGAAAAGTGATACTTTTTAACTTACCATTTTGTAAAATGAAACTAATTAAGTGAAGGTCAAGTTGCATCTCAAGGAAAGTGTGAACCATGTAGTTTATTACAGACCTAATATTGTATGGAATAGTAATATAGATCAAAACTCAACACTAGTGAAATTTGCAAGCTTATAAAGAGAAACACCCATGAGTGAGATAAAGTGTGTACTGTACAAAACAGCTATTTGTATCCCCCAGTTTTTGCAAAAATTGTCAAAAGCTGCCGGCATCAAGAAGCATGTGAATACTGTGTGATTATCCCCAATAAAACAATGCCTCTGCTCTGTATCTGAAGCTTCACATGACCCATTGCTAGTCTTCACCATCTCTTCTCTACAAACTAGCTTTGAAAATATATAATGCAATAAAATAGAATGTAAAATAGAAAAATACAGAAAATTGTAAGCTACAAATATGTAGCTTGCTGAAATACTATCATATTTTAAAAGTATTCTAACAAAATTCAAAATATATAATTAAGCAAGGAGCTGCAGAGGATCCTCATGGGCTCATATTCAATGTCAAAGCTCTGATTCCCTGAACACTATCAAGATCCTATTATTACTATTTCCTTTCATATTATGGTGGCATCATGACTATCCTTTGAATGTACATTCCATTTCCTTTTCAATAATACTTTTTACTCTTTAAAAGTCACATATATTGACACAATGTATGTCTATCATATCTACCCATCACTGCCCCTTTCCAGCTTCCTTTTCCACCAATGGCCCTCACCTCCATCCCAAATTCATATATTCTTTCTCTGCCTTGTTATTAATAACCTCTGTAATCCAGCTAATGCTCATGGTTGTGTGGCTGTATATTGAGGCATAAGCAACCTACCAGCATCCTTGACTCCAAGGAGAGAAGCTCTTTCAGCCATGAACTGCCAACTCCTCTGATAAGGGTGGATCTTCTTCCATCCATGCTGGAACTTTGAGTGACTATACATGCTTGTACAGGTAATGACAGCTACTCTGAGTTGATGGGTACAACAAAGTGCCATGTCTAGAACTCAATATTTCATAGCTCTCCTGTCTATCCACTGGTTCTTACGCTCTTTGTAGGCTTTCTTCTGTGAAGTTTTTGTGCCTTGAGAGTTTGGAGTTTAATATAATATACAGCTGAGAGCTCAGTTACCTGTACTCTGAAATTTGACCCAAGTCTCATTAACACTACATTTCTCTAACTGAAGTTGAGAGCAGCACAACTCTATGGCAGTAAATATAGACATTTAGAATTCAGTTTGACAGAATAACAATTTATACAAAGGACAAACAGTATGTTTCCCTCTACTAGGGTCTTAGTTCTACACAGTTACAAATTATGATGGTGTTTACAATACGAGGCAAGGAATACCTCCCGTGTGCAACTGTCGTGTCCAATCTAAAAATGGCTACTTACCCCCTATCATCAATGCATTACTGTACCAGTGGGAACATCTTGCCAGGAAGACAATTTTGTAGCATGCAGGGTCCAGTGCTGGGTAGGACCACAGATGTGCTTTCTCCCCACAGCAGGCTTCATAGCACCTTCTGTTGCTAGGGAAATTATCCAGCATGGAAAGAGCTTCCTGGTCAGTTTAAAGTTGACTTCTCTATGTCCCACATGCAAAGCGAGGGGCATTACTAAGTCCAGAAATGCTTATGCATGATTAGGAGATAAGGAAATGAAGTATGGGCACAAGGCTTAACCAACATGAAAGACTCACGAAAAAGAAATGCAGGAGCTTTCAATTTCCAACCCAATCTTGCCTAAATCGTTCTCAGTGGAGGTTGACCTCCCAGATTTTCTTAGGTTAAAAGTTAAAAAAAAGCATGGTGGTTGGTGCCTGCCTTCAAACCTGACACTCAGGAGGCAGAAGAAGGTGATCTCAGTATGCATGCTGTCAGCCTAAACTAAATATGGAGTTTTAGAATATTTTGGGTTGTATAG